ACAATTGCGCGGGGCCCAGCTGAACGGCCAACGAATTCAGCTGCAGTGCGCCGCCAGCTGCCCCGTATTCATGAGGTGAGCAGCCAACAACGGCGGAGGCCAATGAACGGAGAGCCCAGCCCAGCGAGAGGGAGGCGCAGGTGCGGAGTCTGCCAGACCACAGGGGTCTTGTCGCAGCCCACGCCACCGCCAGCCTCTTCCTACAGAGGCCTCCAGCAGGCCACAACTGCGGCCGATTGATGTGTGTTTTTGTTTTTCTGCAGGAGGGACCGTGTTGATGATAGTGGTGGTGGTGATGCAGACACCTGCAATTCAGGAAGGGTTGCAGGAGACGACGAAGGAAACCAGGCCGCAGGCGGCGACAACGGGAATCTGTTTAGAATTGCGGATTTCCGAAGCTTTGATGGTGCCATGCAGTGCCCGATGAGTTTGTCGCCCGACCGGCTGCTGGACGCGTTCGGAGTTGTTGCTCCCACACCAGCTACTCCGGGTGTTGCTGGCTTAATGACGTGGGAAAGCTTTTCCACATGGGCTTGTGCTCTTCAATTGAAGCGGGTGGCGGCGCAAGTCGCGGGGTTGGGCAGAAGACGTTGTGCCCAACTCTGAATTCAGCGGGTGGCAAGGAAGGCTTTTGGGGTTGCGGGTCTTGTTCACCCGGGATGCTGTGGACGAGCCCCAGCAGCGGGAGGAGGCCCCAGTTTAGCAGACATCATAGAAGGATAGGGAGAGGGAGAGGGAGACTGAGAGGTGAAAGGCTCCGCCACCAACTCCAACACGGTGGTGCGAATGCGGTGGGATCGGGCACCATGGCGGGACTTTTTGTATGAGCATTTGTGCTGCACTCTCGTGGGCCTGTGGCGGTAGTTGTGGGTTGTGGGGAGCCCTCTCAAACACGTCCAACAGCGATCCCCACAGAGCGGCGAGGTGTGTGTGTCGGCGGCGGCGTAGGGCAGGGCGCACCGCAGGTGATTCTTCTATAGTCGGAGGTGCGAGCCCTTCATGTGGTGGCACGAGGATTTGAAAAGAATTAGATTGGTCATTACTACATCTGCGTTGGCAGCGCGGGGCACTCATGCGGGTGCTGCGGAAGGGCAGTGCACATGCGCGTGCTGGAGTGGGGGAGGGGACGGCTGCCGTCGGTAAGGTTTTGCGGTAGCTGCGGAGAAATGCAGCGTGGGGCTGCATGGCGCCCGATGACAGTTCAGCGGAGATGCCATTGCGGGGTTGCGGAACAAACAACCAACGTGGGCACTGCGGAGACGAACGTGGAAGGCGGAGTGGGAGCTGCCGGTATTTTCACCTTGTGGATCGTTTCAATAAGCATGAATAGTTCCAATTTGCGTTGGACTTGCTATTGCCGACTGGAGTGAACTTGTTGAAGCTGTTGGGGAAAGTCGTGCAGGTATACACTGCGCCTCTTCCTCTTATTTTTATATCCTGTCAGATGAGGGGAAAGCTTGTACTATTGCGTGGTGCGGGGGGCGAAAAACCTCCTGCCCTGAAGGTGAAGGCGTTGTGTTGCGGAGCCGCGGGTGTGCCTTGATCTTTTGGTGTGTGCTGATGTGGCGGCCTCCATTCAAGTCCTCTTTTCTGAGCCTAGCGAGGAGGTCTCCCGCGGTCTTCCACTAGGCCTTCTAGAAAAGTGGGGCCGGCGGCACTACCTGACTGTGTTGGGCATTCCTTCCATGGACACCGAGTCGAGGCGAAGGCGGCGCAAGCTGCAGCGGTCGACGTGCTGGCGGTTCCCCGGTGTGGCGACGCGGGTGAGTGACTTCAGGGGTGCGATGCTTGAGCTGTACTTACTTGGGCGCCACCCGGAACACGGCTACAGCTACTCCGCCGTGCTGCGAGAGGAGGCGGGGTAGTGGCACGACGTGGTTGCGCTGCCGATGAATGAAGGCAGTGCGACCACGGACAAAAAAAAAGCTGGCACTGACTCCTGGGGAATGCGGGCTGAGATTAGCATGAGCGCAGGATGTACTTTTAGTTAGGGTTTGTGCTGCACATGTTCCCGAATGTCCCCTACCTTGCGAAGTGCGACGGCGACATCTTTCTTCGTGTGCTGCAGCGTAATTGCTGACCTTCGCACACTGCCCCGCTGCGGCCTTTACTGGGGGTTAGTGCTGATCTTCTTGGACAAGGTCCGCTACGTCCGTGGGTTGTGTGTGTGACGCTGGCGAGGGACGTTGCGGAGCAGGTTGTGTCGTACAAGCGGCTGCGGCATGCGGTGCTTCACCCGGAGACGGCGGCGCGCAGCGAGTACGTGGAGCTCATCATGACGAACGAGGGCGTGATGGCGGGGCGGGCGATTGAGTGGTTGGGGTACCCGCACGTGGTTGTACGCTGGCGAGAAGTTGTGCAGTTTTCAAGACACCAGGGAAGGCCACTTTTTCCGCCAAGCCACCGCGAACCCCATCGTAGTGCATCACCCACACGAAAGCGGTTACGGGGAGCCGATGGCCCGCCTTGGAAACGACACCGCGCTCCCTGCCAGAGGCTTCCGGCGGGGCGGCAGGTGCCACATCAGTTTTTTTGTGCCGTCGCTAAGTTGTGGTGCGCCCCTCTCTCGTCTCTTTTCGTTCTGCGTGTGTGTGTGGGAAGGGAGGGGGAGAGAAATAAGGCTGAGGACATTCCTTTTAGCAACCATGGTGCCTGCTGCTTTTTGCTTCTGGGCTGCTGCGTTTCTGTCGGGGCGACGCCCTCTCATTGCTGCCGCACAGTGGCCGTTGAGGGGTTTGGGGTGTTGTTGCTTGCAGGGGGTCCTGCTTTGCTGCTGGGATGTGTGCGGTGTTTCGGGCGTGGCGGACCCGCCCCCTCCATCTCTTCTCTTCCCGTTTCTCCTCTTATTTATCTCTCTCTCTCTCTCTCTCTCTCTGTGCCAGTAGTGCATGCGTGCCCAGGCTGGCAAACACCTTGGCTCCCACCCATCCACAAACACACAGTTGTATAGTTAGTAAAATAGGCGTATAGGGATGTCGCTCTCCGTGTCGGAACCGCTTGAGCTGCAGGGGCAGCGGGACACGGTGGTGGGGATGCGCCGCGAGTGGAACTTCTCCCTTACCTTTGTTCACCAGGCAGCGCGGGTAGTCATGCAGCTCTCACCACAGTGGGAGACCACATTTATTGACCCACGCGATTTTAAGCAGCTCAATCGGCTTGACCGTGACGTGAAGCACTGCCCCATGATGCCAGCGCTGCAGTACACCGATCTCAGTGCCGTCATGACGCCGAACAACGAGCTCTGGAGGGAGATCCCAAAGCGGGTATCCATCATGTACTCTCACATTCCCCCAGATATGACATTGGCGGCGTACTGCATCCGGAGCGTGCAGCACGTGCTGTCCGACCCCCGCGTCGTCTCCGTTGACGGCTCCACTGACCTGCTACATCTGCGCGTGGGTGACAAACTTCGTTGCCCGTATCGGCTTGGTGGCCAACGCAGTTTCCAATTCCGCTACCACGTCTCCGTAAAGTCGCAGCTGATAAAGGATATGGTGTACGCGATTGGCACGATCATCAACCAGCGTGGCTACCTTTGCACCGTGCAGTGCTCAGAGGAGGAGCTGGAGGGGTACGTGGCGAAGAACTTCCTGCCGCAGTACACCAGCCCGGACAAGTTTGCCGTAGACCAGGACGTGGAGTACGAGGAGATGTCATCAACGGTGCTGAAGGAGCAGCAGGAGCTCTTCGGGGAGCTGCGCTACTTTGATGCCGATGCCTCCGTGGCCTTCTCCATCCCCATGCACCCCATGCGGATACGCCCAGATTTTTCTCCAACGCAGACGGTTGGCGTGGGCTCCGTCGCCTGCATGACTCTGGAGCTCGACGTGCACCAGAAACTCATCGACGACTTTGCGGAGGCGGAGATCACGGGGATGCCAAAGTACAAGAATAACCAGGTGATCCTCTTCCTTGATGTGGAGGATGTCGCCCGCATGGGGTACCCACGCATCATGTCAACAGAACAGTACAGCCACCTCAAGACTAAGCGGCTGCTGGACATTTTCGCTGACGCCAGGCTCGTGGGGGCGCCCGTCACGAATCACATGGGAATTCGTACAGGCCGTAGCCGAACAGTGACATTCACCTACGAGCCGTTGAACGCCGTCGTGAAGGTCATGACTGTCTCCACTATTGTGGGCAGCCTCGGAGTCTCGGCCGTCTTTCTGACGAAGCTAGGCGGCGGCCTCTTCGACGCTCACCTCTACTTGTACCAGCAGTTTCTTGAGGGCATCAAGTTCTGCGAGCGCACTGCCGCGAAGACGCTCTTTAGCCGCTTCCGCACTGTGAACGTCCGCCTGCTGGAGCAGAGCCTGCCATGCGCGTACTCCGACGCCTCGGCAGAGGAGCGGCAGGCGATGGAGCAGCACCTCAAGTTTCTGCGTGAGTCAAACGACGGCCGGGTCGAGGGGGGCGTCGTGATTCAGGTGCCACCGGAGGAGGGCGGGTTGGAGAAACGTCACCGCCAGCACAAACGCAGTGTCTCTCCGCACTTCCGCAGGCGGTTAGTGTCTATGCACTCAACCGTGAACGACAGTGTGAGTGGGCATCACTCGGCGGGATCAAACAGCAGTCAGATGGTGGTCTTTCGTAGCAGCGAGAGCTGTGGTGAGCTCAAGTTCAGTGACGCCCTCTACGAGGAGGACGAGGAGACGTCCAATGACGAGGAAGGACCGCTCTTCTCGACCCTTGAGCTGTCTTTTCACAGCGGCTCGGAGATCAGCGTGACCGGCATCGTCCATCTGCGCGGGATAGCGCAGGAGGACTCCTTCATGGACGGGGATGAGGGTAGTGCCCCTCTGCCACACAGCGTCGTCGTCTTACCGAGTGACGGTGTTGAGGTTAGGGGTGAGCGGTCGGCAGCGACGTCGCTCGCACCGGCTCCAACACACCGTTCCCAAGAGCTCGTTACTCCGATACTCGCGGAAGTGGTGGATGGTGAGACACTGTGCCCGTCGTCGGAAATGACGGCGGAGCGACAGGCCGCGTTGCACTTCAGCACCGCCTCCGCTCCCCAAGACGGCGCAGAGAGCGGCATCGCGGAGGCGTCCCAGGGGACCCTGAATCAGCACCAGCAGGAGGAGAGAGATGAGGAGCAGCGGCACCAGCAGCAGCTTCGCGAGGTGCTCAAGGACAACGAGGCGGACATGTACTTTGGACCCTCTTTGCATGACATCTACGTGCGTTGCTGCGACATGCAGCGGTGCAAGCCGAACAGCTACTTGCTGAAGAAGCTGCCAACCGACCCGCGTTTCACCAACGGCGTATGCGAGTTAGACCTCAGTTCCAACTATCTGGGTCGAAATGGGTTTGTCGCGCTACTGAGTCTTATGGAGCACCTTCCACGGCTGCAGGTGGTGTACTTCAACGACATGTCACTTGACAACGTGGATGCCGAGAATCTCTGTGAGATGCTCGCCGGCAACAATAGCGTGCAGGAGGTGTACCTTCGCAACAACAGCAAGATCACACTCCCTGCAACGCGCCACTTCACACAGCTGCTGCGGGGGAATCCCAACATTACGGTGCTAGAGCTTGAGGGGACACGGCTGGGACACACTGTCATTAAGAAGTTAGGGGAGGATGCGAAGAAAAACGCCGTTAAGCGTAATGTGGATCAGGAATGACGAGCAGATGACTGTGGGGGGAGGTGTATGCGCTTCTCTCTCTCTCTCTCTCTGTGTGTGTGTGTGTGCCACTTTTCTCTCACTTTGCCGCTTTATACGACTCTGGCACGCGGTCTGTGCGTGTGTGGCTGGGGTGTGAGGGACATGTAAAATGTACAGTGTTGCTGCAACTGCTGTGCCCCCCGCTGCCTTTGCGCGTCTGCAGGGCAGTAGGCGGGGCGTTGAAGCAGTAAACAAAACTACAGCAACAAGAAAAACAGCAACAAGAACAAAGTTTTCATTGCTCCTGCCAGCGTTCCGCGGCTCGTTGCGGGCGGGAAGTGGGGAGGGATGCAACCCTCGACATGAGCCGCTGCGTCTGCAACTCTCTGTCTCTCTCTCTCTCTCTCTCTCTTTTTTTTCTTCTGCCTTCTTTCCCTCGCTTTGCCCCAAAGTAAGGAATCATAGCGTCCCTTGTAAGGCAAAGAGCGAGGGGTGGGACGCCGGTGAAGAAGAAATACGACAAAAACAGACAAAGGTTAGGGGGAAAAAAGCAGAAAACAACAACAGAGGCGAGTTACTATTGTGCAGTTATTTTGGTCTCCACTTGGCGTTTTTTTTGTTCTCCTTGCGTGCGTGTCTCGCTGCGCAGCTGCAAAGGGTTTTCACGTGCCACATGTACCCGGAGCGACGCCCGTATGCAACGACGGTGAGCCACGGCGGCTACTTGTCGAAGCCGCTGCTTCCACCGGTGGAGGCGCTTCGCATTCTGAACAGCCCCATTGGCATTGATGTGCCGCGCTCCATTCGCCTCGACACCCAGACGGCGGTGGCGCCGGGGGACTTGATGCGACAAACTCCCTCCAGACCTCGCACAGCTGGCAGACCGTCCTCGGCGCGTGGTGTGCCGATGTTTAAACCGCCCACACTGGAGTCTGCATCGCCGTTCTCCTTCAAGGAGAAGGATTACCACAACTCTCAGCAGACCGCCCTCAACGCACAGTTGAATAACGCGGTGGAGGAGCTGTTTAAGGTATGGCGCCGAAAGGTGCGTGACCTTCAAAACTACCTCAACGTTTATCCCATGCAGAGTGCAACATCTAGCACGTTGACGGCAGATGCAATGATGAACTATTTTCAGGGTTATCGCTCCATCGATGTGCTACCGGTGACGATGGAGCAGCTGGTGAAGGAATTTAAGCTGGCGTCCACGCCGGAGATGCTGGGCGACATTCAAAACAGCCCAGCGTTGTCAACAGAGCATATTCGCCGCACCCTCAACGCGCTGTTGAGCGCCAAACACTTTTTGGCTCCGCTGGAGCACTACGTTCAGGAGCTGGAGGCCCTTGCGTTACTGGCGCTGCGGGATGAGCCCTGCGAAGAAGTGGGGGGTGTTCAGCGGGGTCCGGTGTGGCTGAGCAAGGCAGCCGTCGCCCTACATGAAAAGTTCCACTACAACCCCTCCGAGTACGCCCTGAGGGAGCTGCGGAAAAGTGATGAACCACTGAGGCGACTGGAGCGCCGGGTGATGGAGGCGAAGGAACAAAAAGAACGCGCTATCGATGAGGAGCTTCCGGGGGAAGCGCTGAGCTGCCTCACATCACAGGTGGACCTCAGCAATGACCTGCTGCTTGCGAACAAGGCTCGCCTGGAGCTTGTGCGTCTACACTCCGATGACGTGCGTGATATGAAGCCACTCATAGACACAGTCATTGCGGACGCCCGTCGCAGTGTGGAGTTGCTGAAGGGGCGTATTGAGCGGGACCTCCCGCTGGTGAAGAAGGACCTGGAGAGCCTCCGTAACGACACACAGAACACGGAGGATCACATCCAGTACCTAACTAAGGTGGACTCCGACGCCAACAAGGAGGCTCGCAAGGAATTTCGCAAGCTGGAGGACAACGAAAGAGATCTTTGGGAGCTGCTGCTTCAGACAATACAGAAACTGGTAAACATCTCAGATGAAAAGAAGGACTTTGTTCAGAAGCAACTTCGGCTCCGCGAACAACGGGCGTATGACATGGGACAAGCCTTGGAGCTTCTGAAGACCCAGCAGCAGTACAACGAGCTCTTGCGCAGCTGCGACGACACTCTCTGGCGGTGGTCCAGTGTGGCGGAGGTGTACGAGACGTACGTGGAGGCGTATGTGCCGAAGCTGCTTAAGAAGTTGAACGACGCGGAGGAGGCGGACCAGATCCTCTACAACCGTGAGGCCCAGGAGTACGTTCGCCGCTATGAAATGTTTGAGTACGCGGTGGAGGAGGGCCGTGCCACCCGGCAGGTTCACGCGGACCGACTGAAGGTGCTGCAGCGCTCAAAGAAACTGGACGTGGAGCGGGCGATGGAGACGCTGGATCCGCATCTTGAAAAGTACAACAAGGAGCTGCAAGAGTCCCAGGCGCAGCTGGAGGAGGCGGAGGCGTACATCAACCTTGTGGGGAGCCTACAGCGCGAGCGCCGAGGCGACGTGGAGCCCATCCTGCAACACGTCATCATGCACAATCGCACGGTGAGGACCCAGCAGCCGGAGCTGGAGGGCCCGGCGGAGACGCTGCTGCTGAGGGACAAACTGCAGGCGCGCGGCGTCGTCCAGGCAGAGACGACGTTCCCCGAGGAGACCCACGTCAGTCCGACGTCAACGATCCCTGTGCCTTCCTGTGGCGCGGATGGGAGGCCAGTCGTGGCGGACACCGACCTAGCAGTGGTGTCGGGCTTTTCCACCGCCTCGCCGCTGATGGCCACCGTTGCCCACCCGCACGTTCAGGCCCGCACGGTTGGCATCAACCACGAGGAGGCGTTTCTCGAAAAGTACCGCCGCTTCACTGACGAGGAGCAGTGCGCCGTGGAGGCGGCGGATGGGAAGGTGCGGAAGGCCCGCCACGAGCTGGACAAACTCGGTCTAAAGTACGACAACATGGATTACGTCAGGATGCAGCTCGGCACAAAGGAGCAGAGACACACCTCTCCCCTCGACGATGGGAGTCGCCACGGCGCTTCTGGTGAAGTGAGAGCTCAGTGATACAGTTGGTGTGCGACGAAAAAATACAACAATAACAGCAACCGATCCATTCCGTTTTTTTTTTTCATCCTCATTTCCAGTGCTTCTTACCTCCCCACCCCTCCACCTCGCCGTTTGTTCGAGTGCTTTTGTGGTTCCGCCTCCTGCATCGTCACTGTTGCCTTGTTTCGCGGTTTCTCTCTTTGTGTGTGTGCGCGACCGCGTGGGAT